TCCCTCGCCAGCTGTGCAGGGAGGTCGTGGGTTCGATCCCGACCCTGACGATGCCTGCCGCTGCCTGCCGTTGTATATTTGGAGTCTGCGTCTCTCATCATCATCATCATCATCACTGTGGCTAGATGTTAACTAGCTCGCCTGGTACGCAGGAGGTCGTGGGTTTAATCCCGACCCTGACGACGCCTGCTGCTGTATATTTGGAGTCTGCATCTCTCATCATCATCATCACGGTGGTTAGGAGATGTTGACTAGCTCGCCTGGTACGCAGGAGGTCATGGGGGTCAATCCCGACCCTGACGCCTGCTGCATATTTGAAGTCTGCGTGTCTCTGATCATCATCATCATCATCACGGTGGCTAGGAGATGTTAACTAGCTCGCCTGGTATGCAGGAGGTCGTGGGTTCGATCCCAACCCTGACGCCTGCTGTGTATTTGGAGTTTGCGTGTCTCTCTCTCATCATCATCATCACGGTGGCTAGGAGATGTTGACTACCTCGCCTGGTGTGCAGGGAGGTCGTGGGTTCGATCCCAACCCTGACGATGCCGGCCGCTGTATATTTGGAGTTTGCGGTGTCTCTCTCTCTCTCGTCGTCATCATCATCATCATCACAGTGGATGTGTCAACTAGCTCGCCTGGTACGCAGGAGGTCGTGGGGGGTCAATCACGACCCTGACGCCTGCTGCATATTTGGAGTTTGCGTCTCTCTGATCATCATCATCACAGTGGCTAGATGTTGACTACCTCGCCAGCTGTGCAGGAGGTCGTGGGGGTTAATGCCGACCCTGATGACACCTGCTGTGTGTTTGGAGTCTGCGTGTCTCTGATCATCATCATCACGGTGGGCTAGGAGATGTTAACTAGCTCGCTTGGTATGCAGGAGGTCGTGGGGGTCAATCCTGACCCCGACGCCTGCTGCTGTATTTGGAGGAGTTTGCGTGTCTCTCTCTCTCGTCATCATCACGGTGGCTAGGAGATGTTGACTACCTCGCCTGGTGTACAGGATTTCGTGGGTTTGATCCCAACCCTGCTTCTGCTGTAGATTTGGAGTCTGCGTGTCTCTCTCTCTCCCCGTGGTCTCGAGGATTTTTCTGCGGTTCCTCCGGTTTCCCCCCCCCCCGCCAGATTCATAGTCAACATCAACCACGTTTAGAGTGCTTGCCTGCTGCTGTACATTACCACGTGATGATGATGATGATAATCCAGCTGCTATGATTTGAGGTATCCCAGTGGTTGCATCCGAAAAACTCAGTGGGGTCTTACTCAGAGGTCGCAACCGGGTACCCGATACCCGTACCCTACCCAATACCCGGCTACCCGTACCCGGCCGGGTACGGGTACCCGTTTGCGACCCTGGTGCGGCCGGGTACGGGTACGGGTAGGCCGTGAGTCACTGGTGAATCACCGTTTGTCACTCATTTTCCAACGTCTTGTCTCTTCTCACAATTCAAGTTTCTAGAATCAACCCACCCGCGCCTGCAACATGGCTTCATCCCAGAGGTCGCAATCAGGTACCCGATACCCGTACCCTACCCGATACCCGGCTACCCGTACCCAGCCGGGTACAAGTAGCCGTTTGCGACCCTGGTGCGGCCGGGTACAGGTAAGGAATCAAAACCCGTTTGCGATCTCTGGCTTTACCTGGTCACAATCATTTAGTTTTAGCATGGGTATTTGTGGGTTTCTATGGGGTATTTGTGGGTTTCCTATGAGTGTGGGTCTGTATGAGTCTCTATCATCCTATAGAATCGAGATCGCGCGTTGAGACTGTTTGACTGACACTTGATTGAGTCCTGTGGTCAAAATAATAATATTGAAAAATACTCTTTTTAAATCCTTTATATTAAGTTCGCTTGCTTGCTTGCTTACGACCGTGCAAATCTTTCGGTCGTTTTTTAACCCACTTCCCGTGATCCAATCGAGCTGACATTTTGCACACAGACTCGTTGTGCGAGACAATTAATGTTCGTGAAAATTTTTTTTCCAAAATGTTACACTGTTTAGGGAAAACAAATTAAATATTTAATTACCAATTGCTTAATACTGGCAGACAATCATCTGACCCATAGGTGGCAGCCATCTCAAGCCAGAGGACGAGAGGACTCTAGCCGCCACGCATATAAAGGATTTATAGTGAAAACTTTGTTTTTACGGGTTATACTTGTTTTATTAAAAACACGCTTTAGTGAAATGTACCGTACGAGTAATGGAAAAACTCCAAGACTCCAGGAAGTGGCCCCGATGCTTGCCATGACGTAGGTACGTCAGTTGAGTGTGGACAATTAGACCCAAGCCGAAAAATAACAGGTAAAACATAATGTTTCAAAATATATTTATAATTTTTAATAATAGAATATAGTATTGTCATCAGTAAGACATAAGTATACCAAGTTTGCATTCGATACCGCATTGGGAAGTGGGTTTAAAAATTGAGTTACAAAATTAGAAGATACAACAACAACAGAGTGAGTTCAATGAAAGCGTGTAAATAACATCATCAGCCGCACCTAGTCTACACAACAAAGGCTCATTCCTAACAGCGTGTTAGCGACGTTGGGTCTCTGTGGGTCTCTATGAGTTGGAGTTAACATCGTTGGGTCTCTGTGGGTCTCTATGAGTTGGAGTTAACATCGTTGGGTCTCTGTGGGTCTCTATGAGTTGAAGTTAAAGTCGTTGGGTCTCTGTGGGTTTCTATGAGTTGAAGTTAAAGTCGTTGGGTCTCTGTGGGTCTCTATGAGTTGGAGTTAACATCGTTGGGTCTCTGTGGGTCTCTGTGGGTCTCTATGAGTCGGAGTTAAAGTCGTTGGGTCTCTGTGGGTCTCTGTGGGTCTCTATGAGTTGGAGTTAATATCGTTGGGTCTCTGTGGGTCTCTGTGGGTCTCTATGAGTTGAAGCAACAACGTTGCTGGGAATTAATTAATTAATTATATTCCCCCCCCCATAACTCCCTCCCACCCCCCACGTTTCACCACCACCACCACAGCGGGGAAAGTCCCAACCGCATTCTATAAACGCCAGCGGGGGGGAGGGGGGGTCGAAGGTCAGGTTTGCTGCTGCCCCTCGGAGAGATGTGGTCAGATAATGGTGCCTGGGGCGGCCTCCTCCTGCTGCCCCAGCGAGACGTCCACTAGCAGCTCCAGCGCTGTGCTGTCGTCGTCGTAATAATCATCGTCATCGTTGTCAACATTTTTGTCGTCATCGTCGTCATCGGCATCATCGTCGTCGTCGTAATAATCATCGTCATCGTTGTCAACATTTTTGTCGTCATCGTCAGCGTCATCGTCGTCATCGTCGTCGTAATAATCATCGTCATCGTCGTCATCATCGTCGTCATCGTCATTGTCGTCGTCGTCGTCATCGTAATAATCATCGTCATCGTTGTCAACATCATTGTCGTCATCGTCGTCATCGGCATCATCGTCGTCGTCGTAATAATCGTCATCATCGATGTCAACGTCGTCGTCGTCGTCATCGTCATCATCATCGCGTGGCAATTTAAAGCAGCAGTCAAATCCTCCAACCGCACATTGATTCGACAGACTCACGGAGACCCATGCTCATAGAGACCCACAGAGACCCATACTCGTAGAGACCCACAGAGACCCATACTCGTAGAGACCCATACCCACGGAGACCCACGGAGACCCACGGAGACCCACGGAGACCCACGGAGACCCACGGAGACCCACAGAGACCCACAGAGACCCACAGAGACCCACAGAGACCCACAGAGACCCACAGAGACCCACAGAGACCCACAGAGACCCACAGAGACCCACAGAGACCCACAGAGACCCACAGAGACCCACAGAGACCCACAGAGACCCACAGAGACCCACAGAGACCCACAGAGACTCATAGAGACCCATACTAAAACCAAACTTTTATTTGACCAGGTAAGGCCCCACTGAGTCGCTATGTTTTCCGAAGTGACTTACACATCACAAATGACAGCTCAACAAAGGGGGATTAACGTCATCACAACGTGGAAATTGAAAGCAGCGGCCAAATGCTCTAAACGCGTGGCGACGTTGATTCTAAACGTGGAGGGAAAAACTGGAGGACCCGGAGACAAATCCACGCGACCACGGGGAGAGAGACAGAGAGACGCAGACTCCAAATATACAGCAGCAGCAGCAGCAGGCGTCGCCAGGGTCGGGATCGAACCCACGACCTCCTGTACACCAGGCGAGATAGTCAACATCTCCTAGCCACCGTGATGATGATGAGAGAGACACGCAAACTCCAAATCTACATCAGGTGTCAGGGTCGGGATCGAACCCACGACCTCCTGTATACCAGGTGAGGTAGTCAACATCTTCTAGCCACCGTGATGATGATGAGAGACACGCAAACTCCAAATCTACATCAGGTGTCAGGGTCGGGATCGAACCCACGACCTCTTGTATACCAGGCGAGGTAGTTAACATCTATGGATCTTTATGGGTCTCTATGTGAGTCTATGGGTCTCTGTTGTGTGAGTCTATGGGACTCTGTGTGAGCCTATGGGTCTCTGTGTGGTGAGTCTATGGGTCTCTGTGTGGTGAGTCTATGGATCTCTGCTGTGTGATGAGTCTATGGGTCTCTGTGTGATGAGTCTCTGGGTCTCTGCCGTGCGAGTCTACGGGTCTCTGCTTTGTGATGAGTCTATGGGTCTCTGTGTGATGAGTCTACGGGTCTCTGCCGTGCGAGTCTATGTGTCTCTATGTGTCTCTATGCATTTTTCGATTACTCGGCAGGGACTTTTAGATTCCGCACGCGATAAGCTGCCGCTGGTTCAAGTCCCAGAATCAGAAGCTGTATTCAGACTCTGCAGGAGGAATCTGATGATCTATAAAGCTCTTTAACTCACCGATGTCCAATTCAACAATAGAGTTTTACGTTTTCTGTTGGAACTCACACTTACCCCCCCCCGTGCCCCCCAAACCCCCCCCTTGTGCCCCTCCCCCCTTTGTGCCCCTCCCCCCTCCACGCCCCTCCCCCCTTCCACGTGACTCAGATGAAGATCTCCTTTAGCGAGTCGGAGGCGATGTTTGAGTATCCGTCGGAGAGCTCCCTGCTGGAGGGGCTGGACTCTGACGATGAGGGCGGAGGAGGTGGAGGAGGTGGGGGCAGCTCCTCTGACGAGGGTGGAGGGGACGAGGAGGAGGAGGGGGGCGGGGGGAGGGGCCACCCCACCCCCCGCAAGGCGGCGACCTTCACCCTGCCACGGCCGGAGCTGCAGAGTAGCATGCCCAGCCAGCACTACGCATCAGGTGGGAACCACGTGGTGACGGTGGTGGTGGTGACGGTGGTGGTGACGGTGGTGGTGGTGACGGTGGTGGTGGTGACGGTGGTGGTGACGGTGACGGTGGTGGTGGTGACGGTGGTGGTGGTGACGGTGGTGGTGGTGACGGTGGTGGTGGTGACGGTGGTGGTGGTGACGGTGGTGGTGGTGGCGGCGACGGTGGTGACGATGGTGGTGGTGACGGTGGTGACGGTGGTGACGGTGGTGGTGGTGACGGTGGTGGTGGTGGTGAGGGTGGCGGTGGTAACGGTGGTGGTGACGGTGGTGTTGACGGTGGTGACCGTGGTGACGGTGGTGACGGTGGTGACGTGGTGATGGTGATGATAGTGATGTTGATCATCATGTTGATGACTGATGATGATGACGTTGACGACGACGATGACGATGATGTTGACGACGATGTTGACGACGATGTTGACGATGATGTTGATGATGATGACGACGATGACGACGACGATGATGATGACGACGATGACGACGATGTTGACGATGATGTTGACG